GCCCTCATGTCAGGCTGAGTCTTGGATTGTTAGGTTTGCAATTGCTATGGAGCGCGGTCAGCCCTGATCCCCGAAACCGCAAGCAACCCAAACCCCAACGCGCTAAACCTGCCCGGCCTTAAACCTTAAATCACTAAGCTCCAAACCCCTGAGCCCCAAATGCATCGTGCATGAGCTGGTTTGCATGACTGTAGTGAGCCTTATACTCCATTTTGGAAGGTTCTGGTTTCATGTGGCCAAGGTTTAGAAGTAGCAGTGTCCCCTGAGAATGTAAGCGCTCAAAACAGTAGTATGTACCAGAGGCCGCAGACTGTTCCAAACAGGAGATCCAAATAATTGTCGATGCCAAGCCCCCATCGGAAATCGTGCCGCTTGAGAAACTGGCACAGTGGCACAAGTTGTGCACTTCCTGCCGCACGAAAGTGCATGGTTGTTTGGGTCCGTCTGAGGAAGAAGCTTTCTCTTCCATCGATCAGAAAGGCGAGGGTCGGAACTGGAAGAGCTTGGGGGAGCACATGTGGCATCCCAGTGCTGCAGCGCTAGTCGAAGCCCGCGAGCAACCGAAATCGTCCATTGTCTCCGTTGGGGAGAAGCACTATGTGCTGAGGAGATTCAGCTGCCAAGCCAGCTGTTATTCTGTCAGTGCCAGGATGCACCGAGGGGCGAAGCATATACTCATATGGGTGGTTGTCAAAACTAGGGCCCCGTTTTGGGTCCCTATTATATTACGGCACCCTAATATTTAGGGTACCCAAAAAGGGACCCTAATTTTGACAACTACCCATATGTTGCATGAGCTTATAACCCAAGACATTTTCCTTCCCTGGGCAAGACGCGATAGCACCATCCCGGCTAGGCGTAGCTTGGGAGCATGACCCTTAATAAGGACCCCTAGGTATATACCCTTAATATAGCTATTATATATCCATAAAAACCCTTAATATAGCTATTATATACCCAGTATATACCCTTATTTTAGCTAGTATAGACCCATTATATACCCTTGATATACCCATTATATGAAGTATCGGGATCCTTTTGCTGGTAGGAACCGGTCTGGCACTAATTGTCACCCGAACCTATCATTCTGACGGTTTGTTGCTTTGGCTCCGGACCCTTAGCCTTATAGTCTCTAAACCCCGAACTGCCTAATCCCTACAACCTTGAACCTTTTTAGCACTTACAGAACATGTAGAATAATGGATCTCGAAGCTGGAAATTCCGCGGGCAGGCAAGAAGTGGAAAAGCTTCTGGAGCAGCTGCAGGCCATCCGGCATTGGGCATACCATCTAGTATACCCCCTCTCCTGAGACAAGAAGGGACAGGGATGAACATGCTTCTATATTTTTTCAGTGACAGGGTACAAAATGCAGGGCGTTTGGAGTTTCAGGCTAAGTTTCGGGTGGGATCCAGCCTGTGGGGTCTACGTGGTAACTGTTGTGTGCAGACCCCAAAGCTCTTGGGCTGATTCGGCGGCCATTTTGTTCTATTCAAACTATAGCACGTGCACTTTAAGCTTATTCTGGGGCACCTGTCCTGAGCTCAGTGTATTGAGCTCCTAGCACGTTCCCTAAGCCCTAAACCCTAAACCTCTAAACCCTAAACCCTTTGCACGATCCTTGGGCTCCGAGGCTAGGCCTGTAAGCTGCAGGTCTTCGAGGTTTCCGCTTCGGATTCTCGGCTCCCAAGAGGGTCCATATACATATACACTACTATTACGGAATTAGGTCCCAAAAACCATAATGGGGATGATCTTTTGGGGTTTTATTCTATAATAGATCTATGGACCCTCTGGGTTCACTTGCATAAGGCAGGTATCGTAGAGATTCAACTCGTGGTGGTGGTGCCACATTAAGAAACATGTACAACCTTTTGTTAGCCACAAGAGCGCCCCAATTATGACAACTTGCCGACTCAGATCTGGAAGCAATGTCTAACCAAGCTACTCTCGTATTCACAGACCATCCCCAGCTCCAGAAATTCTCAGCTCTAATCCCTAAGCACACCAAACCCTAAACCCACACTTTAGCAGGTGTTTGGCGAGATTGCCGCGGGAGCCGGGCACTTGGATGTGCATGCCTGTGTAACCCAGAGCCAACATGTTGCTCCTTGTGGTACCTTGTTTCGCTGCTAGCTGCTACGGGATCCTAATCATATAACAAGCTATCCCAAAACGAAGTCTGAGTAAGGTTTGGTGTTCTGCAGGGTTCGACGAGTGCAGAACTTGCTTATAGTTATTGTCCCCCTTGCTGTGGTGATGATGATCACATTCGCTTGGTGGTAGAGCTATACGTAGGCTATTAAAATCGCACCCCTTCAAGAATTCAGCGGCTATCAACCCGCAAAACCCGCCAAAAATTAAAGCCCCATCCAAAAACTTCAATACACCCTACCTCGAACTACCGTAACCTACTCTGCTGTCGCTTCTTATCGCAAACCCGTCTCCATCGAATTTAGAGGGGCCCTACGAAAAACGGTAGGTTATGGCACTTTAAGATACCCATAGGCCCCAAAGCAGTTCCTTTTGGGATTACCATATAGGATTAAAAACATGAACCCCAAGAAGGAACTACTTTGGGGCCTTAGTGTAAGCCCTACAAAACCATCAAAAATCGGCCGAGTCCGCGAAGCGCTCCGCTGTGTCTGCGCGGGTGCTGGGCAGCTCTTGGTCTTCGAGCTCGTCGAAGGCGGGTCCTGCCTTTTTGCTGTTTAACCCTATGCTTCCAAGGACCTTATAGTTGGGGCCCTAGACCCCTTAAGGACCCAATAAGAAGGTCCCTGGAAGCCTTGGGTAAGGTTTCTGAGTTTAGGGTTTTGGGGTTTAGTGGTTCAGTGGTTTAGGGGTTCAGGGTTTCGTGGTTCAGGGGTTTAGTGGTTTCGGAGTTTAGGGTTTTGGTGTTTAGTGTTTTGGGGTTTAATGGTTTAGGGGCTTAGGGTTCAGGGTTTTGGTGTTTAGGGTTTTGGGTTCAGGGTTTATAGTTTCAGGTATACCATGGTATACAACGACCCAAGGCCCTCTTGACCCCTGCTCTCTTCAAGAGCCTGCCTAGGTTCGAAGCCTCAGGAAGCATGTAAACGTTAGCTTAGGTGTACATTAAGCCAACTAACAAATATCAAGCCGCCATCCATTCCTGGACGGCTGTTGAAAACTTCTTCGCATGGGCACGTTCACCAAGCACACCTGAACCCTAAACCCCAAGTCCTTGCAGAAATCAGCAAAATCCACCACGCCCCTTAAACCTTACCTGGACCCTCAAAGTATGTGGAATAATAGCCTTGCATAGGGTCTGGGCCATTATTTTACCCACTTTTTTGGGGGGTCTAGGTATAAACTCTTATCTTGACTTCTAAACGACCGAAACCTCCCCTAACCGCGAAGAACTCCAAAGCTCCTCCCAGGGCTCGGTGACGAGTGGGCTCTCACCTGCGAGGTCCCGATCCTCCAGCCAGGCTTGGCGATGCGCTTGTTTTGAGTGGGTGTATAGGATTTAGGGTTCAGGGTTAGGGGGGTTGGGGCATTTGGGGTTAGGGTGTTGTGAGGTGTAGAGTTTATATGGTGTAGAGGGTTTAGGGTCTAGTAGGTCAGGGTTCACGGACTGGGAGGGGAGGGGGATGAACCACATCTGAGCCCTAGAATCCTGGACAGAGACCCTCGAAATCCCATACGCCGTATAAGCCACATAAACTCTGAAACCCTAGACCCGAGCTCCCCCAAACCGCAAAGCACCGGTCCAGGACAGCTCCGGCCACGATGACATGCAGGTCATGGAGGACATCGAGGTTCGGGCCTTGACGACTCCGGGGGTGATTTATCACGATTTCTCGCATATGAATATGGTTGCGGTTGATTACGGTTACGAGTGTGTTTAAGACGTAGATTATGATCATGATAAGATGTATGTTAAAGTTATGATGATGTTGGTTGTTACTAGGAATACGGAGCCAACTGGCAGTGGTACGATTAGTACAGTTGTTATCTGATAGGTGCTTCGTGAATTCGGCTTTTGCTTCTTGGTTTCGTTCTTGGGTGCTCGTTCGTGTTGTAGCATTGGCTTGGCCGCTTAGATGGCTCGCTTCGTGGGTTTCGGGGACAGGGCTTAGGGTCTTGACTCAGGGTTTGGGGTGTCGCTGTTGCTGCTCGTTTTTGTTGTTTCTTCCTTGGTTTACGTCAAATCTTTTTAGCACTCTGGTGACAGGCTACAAGAACGTTAGGCCGAGCTGAGCATGCAATGCTTGGCCCTGAGCAGGTAAGGATTCTGAGCATGTGAATGTTGATCCAAACCATGAACACAGAACCAGCGCACTCGAATCACCACTAATAACAGCGCTTTCAATGCGAGCCAACGGTAGAGATCTGTTAAGAGTGTAGAGATCGAGGTTGTTTCCCAAGTACTCCTGTTTATCTTACTAAGTTTCGAACTATATCATCGCCCCATCTATTCCTAAACAAAAGGCCCCCCCCTTTCCAAAGTGGCCTCAAGCTTAATATTGATCCCGCTTTTCTGTGTCGTCCTTGATTATATGTATTCTGACTCTCCTACGTTGCCACAGCTTCCGGCCAGGCAAACCTCGCCCCGTACACGGCTGCGATTTCGCAATGGTGGGAAGGCCCGAGTGTTTCGGCAGATTCCATGTACTTGAAAGCGCCTGTATCCTGGATTAGTGTGTGCCGAAAGCTCACAGCACGACAACACAATCCTGACAATGAGCATGGCCGCAATACTCTCAAACCCCCCAGACCTTGAAATACGAAAGGAAGCATAAGGAAGCTGAGGACGAGCGGTAGGTGGGGTTTTCTCATCCTAAGCAGAGCTGGCTTGTCCCTCCGACAGAGATTTGGGCCAAGCCTTCTTCGGTCCGCCGGAAGCTCTGGGCTCTATACCCCTCTACAGTAGAAGCCCAAAAATTGGAAACACAATAGCTTCAATCCTTAAGAGTAATGACAAGGGCACTATTTGGCCTTAGTCCAGTTTCCAACTTTATGGGGTTTACTGTACACCATGAGGTCCTTACCCAACCGTCGGAAGCCATGGAGGCAGTTTGGATGTCTTTTCCTGGGCTTCCTGACTGCTTCCTGGAGCTCCTGCGCAGTTCGCAGTCCACCGGCATGGTGGAAAGAGGGGCATCCGCGGAAGCGGCCGGGAAGCGTCGCAGAGGCCGAGCTTCTATCGCACCTGGCGGTGCTTCTGCTGCCGGAGGAGCAGATTTTTGGGTTTAGGACGTCGGATGATGTGTTGGCCGTAAGACGTAAGATGCCGGGTTTGACTGGGGCTGCAGGTTTCGCTTGAGCTTTGATATAAGTTGTTGGTTTCTTACAGGGCGCAGATTGAGGTCCTCCAGTCTCTATTGCAGTGTCTACCATAAATCTGCCCGGCAGGAGCCCATCGGGGAGCTCTTCCGAGACGTTCCTGTCAGGCAGCCAGGGAGCTGGGGCAAGAGGCCCTTGAGCCCAGACCTCTCAGTCTATGGGGTCCTGAAGAAGAAGGACGCTGCTTTGTTCTTGGAGTATGACGGCTACTACCGACACCATACACCAGAAGGCATCATCGCCGATATTCGTAAGAGCGAGGCACTGTTGCAGCAAGCTCCGAAGGGATCTCAAGTGCTACGCATATCCCATGCCTGCCGAGGATGGGAGCTCACTTGTGAGACACGCGAAATTGTTGTGGATCGGTGGCAGCCGGGACGTCCCAAGGCGCTTGCGAAGGCGATTCGCCAGATCGTCCAGTTCGTAAGTGAAAATATGGGCAGCATGCTGCGCACCAGTGTGAGGGTAAAGTTGCGAGACTTCTTGGATAGGCCTACACACGGCTTGTGCACGACCGCTGTTGAATTTATGCGGAGGGCGGCTGCCACGGATAATGGCGACCCATCGCAACTGCATGAATTTCTACAAGAGCAGCTTAACATGACAGTGACGCAGTCCGTGAACTTATTGGAAAGACACACCGCCGTGAAACGTTGCAGCGTTGAAAGCAACTGCCGACCCATCGTGCAGTGGCTTCGAGACCTGGGCCTGAACAGAGCTGAGATTGCCAAAGTTATCGGTCGATGTCCACAGGTGCTAGGTTGCAGCATCGAGGAGTATTTGAAGCCGACGGTCCAGTGGCTTCGAGACCTGGGTTTGAAGAAGGCTGAGATTGCGAAAGTGATCGGTCGATTTCCACAGGTTCTTGGTTGCCGCATCGAAGAGAATTTGAAGCCGAAGGTCAAGTGGCTTCGAGACCTTGGCCTGACCAGAGCTGAGATTGCCAAAGTTATCGGTCGATCTCCACAGGTTCTAAGCTACAGCATCGAGGAGAATTTGAAGCCCACGGTCCAGTGGCTTCGAGACCTTGGCCTGAACAGAGCTGAGATTGCCAAAGTGATCGGTCGACATCCCCAGCTGCTAGGTTGCAGCATTGAAGAGAATTTGAAGACAACAGTCCAGTGGCTTCGAGACCTGGGCCTGACCAGAGCTGAGATAGCCAAAGTTATCGGTCGATGTCCACAGGTTCTAAGCTACAGCATCGAGGAGAATTTGAAGCCCACGGTCCAGTGGCTTCGAGACCTTGGCCTGAACAGAGCTGGGATTGCCAAAGTTATCGGTCGATCTCCACAGGTTCTAAGCTACAGCATCGAGGAGAATTTGAAGCCCACGGTCCAGTGGCTTCGAGACCTTGGCCTGAACAGAGCTGGGATTGCCAAAGTGATCGGTCGACATCCCCAGCTGCTAGGTTGCAGCATTGAAGAGAATTTGAAGACAACAGTCCAGTGGCTTCGAGACCTGGGCCTGACCAGAGCTGAGATAGCCAAAGTTATCGGTCCATGTCCACAGGTTCTAAGCTACAGCATCGGGGAGAATTTGAAGCCGACGGTCCAGTGGCTTCGAGACCTGGGTTTGAAGAAGGCTGAGATTGCCAAAGTGATCGGTCGATTTCCACAGGTTCTTGGTTGCCGCATCGAAGAGAATTTGAAGCCGAAGGTCAAGTGGCTTCGAGACCTTGGCCTGACCAGAGCTGAGATTGCCAAAGTTATCGGTCGATCTCCACAGGTTCTAGGCTACAGCATCGAGGAGAATTTGAAGCCCACGGTCCAGTGGCTTCGAGACCTTGGCCTGAACAGAGCTGAGATTGCCAAAGTGATCGGTCGACATCCCCAGCTGCTAGGTTGCAGCATTGAAGAGAATTTGAAGACAACAGTCCAGTGGCTTCGAGACCTGGGCCTGACCAGAGCTGAGATAGCCAAAGTTATCGGTCGATGTCCACAGGTTCTAAGCTACAGCATCGGGGAGAATTTGAAGCCGACGGTCCAGTGGCTTCGAGACCTGGGTTTGAAGAAGGCTGAGATTGCCAAAGTGATCGGTCGATTTCCACAGGTTCTAAGCTACAGCATCGAGGAGAATTTGAAGCCCACGGTCCAGTGGCTTCGAGACCTTGGCCTGAACAGAGCTGAGATTGCCAAAGTGATCGGTCGACATCCCCAGCTGCTAGGTTGCAGCATTGAAGAGAATTTGAAGACAACAGTCCAGTGGCTTCGAGACCTGGGCCTGACCAGAGCTGAGATAGCCAAAGTTATCGGTCGATCTCCACAGGTTCTAAGCTACAGCATCGGGGAGAATTTGAAGCCGACGGTCCAGTGGCTTCGAGACCTGGGTTTGAAGAAGGCTGAGATTGCCAAAGCTATCGGTCGATGTCCACAGGTTCTAAGCTACAGCATCGGGGAGAATTTGAAGCCGACGGTCCAGTGGCTTCGAGACCTGGGTTTGAAGAAGGCTGAGATTGCCAAAGTGATCGGTCGATATCCACAGGTGCTAAGTTGCAGCATCGAGGAGAACATGAAGCCGACGGTCAAGTGGCTTCACGACTTAGGCATGAATCAAACTGGGGTCGCCCGAATGCTGGTGAACAACCCTGTCATGCTCGGTTTGCGCGTCGAGTCCAATCTGGCCAGGAAGGTCGTCCTCTTGCAGCAGTTTGTGAGTTTGGAGTGCCTTCCTGGACTTCTGGCGCATTATCCTGTAATATTGAACTACGGCTACGAGCGCTGGGCTTATCGTTCGAAGGTCTTGCGTCAATGCACCAAACCTCGGTCCTTTGCCCCAGCTCTTCAGCTGACTGATGCCGCCTTCTTCAGACGGTATGGTGAGCATGTCGAAGGACTAGTTGGTCTCGAGAGCCCGATTGCCGGAGGTGAAACAAGTTCGGTCCGAGTTCATCTTTTCAGGCTCAACATGAGATTTCGAAACTCGAAGAACAACAAGACGTGATGCGAAATCAGTAAGGCAGCGAGTTGTCCCTTGCCCTGCTTGGTTCTGGGATAGCTCGGTACTTGGATGCATCGGCAGGCTTTCGCGCATGAGCGAATCTGCTTCAAACACGAAAGCATTAGCACGGTTATGTTGAGTTCCCGCTCTCCCTTATCAGCTCGTCCCCTATGCGCGACTTCAGACTTGCATGTTTCCGCCCGTTGGGCCAGGATTTACGCTACGAGATGCGAAACCTGAGCACACGGTCATGTAAGGATTGACCTAAGACTCGTTCCTGCACTATCACTTCCGAGTGGCTCTGCACACTTGAAACGTGACCCTGTGTTACTCTGTCTCCATAGCTCGTTAACGCATTCCGCTTCGACACCCTGGCATTGTACAATGCCAGCCCAAATCGTTGCACATTCACAGGCCATTGTAGTTGAAGCATGAAGACTAAGGTCTTTGCATGGTTATTCGTGGATTGAAGAGAAGGTGTCGTTCTTAATTAACACTCGCAGTACGGCATTCCATTTCTGTGTTCCGTTGCCTGCCACGTCTGCTCTTCGAGTCACCCCTCCCTCCTGCATCAGGCTTCAAGAGCTCGCAGATGCTCACCCACGTGATGTGCGATCACGCTTCCTGGCTGCCTTCCCAAGCTCAATGCAGACTAGCACCAAGTCCCAGCACTTTGAGGCACCTTCGAATTCACTACCTGGACTTGGCTTAGTTTGTTCCTAGACGGAGAAGTCGGCCAACGGAACCATCCACTTAGCCACCCAGGCTTTCCTGGGCCTGGACGAGGAGCACTACCAGGTCAGCGCCGTTCGGGCCCCGGACATGATACAGACTTCGGGAAATTGTGTCATTCAGGACTTCGGGGATAGCTGGGTTCTCGAGGCTTTGGGTTGAAACGTACTCTGTTCTGGCGGTCTGGCGGATCGACTTTTTAGCCTCATTTGGAGGGCTTCTAGGATTCATGATCTGGTGGTGCCGGGAGCTGCCATTGCGTGCGTTTTGTTGGAAGAGGGGCTCGCGGGGTAGATTGAGCTGCCTAGCCTTCACAACATAGAGCCGCAACGGCTCCAACTCTCACAACTCAAACCAGGGCGGCTGGAGGTGCTCCTGCCGAAGGTTTCAAGGCGTTTCATGGAACTCCTGTTCAGCTTTCGTGGCCTCAAGCCTAGTCTCAAGCACCTCGACGAAACAAGCTTAGACCAAGCCCGAGTCACTAGATCTCGAAGTCCTGCACAACTTGACGAAGTCTCCCCGCGAATCCTAGTTAAGCCCAAACCCTCGATATCCCTAGGCCCGAGCTCCTATATACGAGCCCTGAAATTCCTGAAGCGCAGGCCGTGAAACGTAAGCGGGAACGCCTATCCACCAGTCCTAGTGGAACTTCAACGAATGCCTATATAGACCCCAAACCCACAACCACCAAACCCAACAACCTAGAGTTCATGCAACCCAACCATAACACGACGAAAAGAGAAAAAGGATGTCGAAAACAGACCTGAAACTCTCGGAAGCTCTCCATTCAAGGACCGGGCTGCCTCCGAAGAGCTGTCGGAGCACCGGAGAGGCCCCACCTCTCTCATGAGGTGTAGGTCTAGGTTCTTCCGGCTGAGTGGCCCTGCTTGCAGTGTTCTGTTATGTCGTTCGGTGGGTTGTGAGGTGGGTCGGCAAGTTAGAAAAGCATCCCCGTGGTTTTGAGTTCAGGTCTTAAGGCATGTATGTGTGTCCGCCTTTATGGGCCTAAGTCCTAAACATTAACCATACAAAGCTACACTACACTGAAGCCCCACATCCCAGACTTGGAAATCGTGACTCAGCAAAGGCAGAAACAGAATCAGCCACCCCGCACTCTGCACGGCACGGAAGAACCATCAACTGACGGAGTGGGTTTCCTTCTAGGCTAGAATGCAATGCACGGACTCTAGCCAGCACTCAAACCCCAGGGTTCCGGGCTCTCGTGGGAAGTTTGAGCTAAGAAGTCCTGCTTGGTTCAATTCGCGCTTACTGAGTTGCGCCTGCTGGGCTGCATGAACAGGCATGCATTTGCGATGTGTTTATATAGATCTGATGCTTTTGACAGTGCTCTCTGCTTGATCCCACCAACGGAGCTGAAGCTCATTTCCCTGAGAACTCCAAGTGTTTATGTGGGATGCACTTGTGCCTGAACCAGTTCGTTTCAACCCTGTATCCACTTGGAGGCCAGGGTTTGGTTCCAGCACGATAAACAGTGTATGCAGTATACTGTACATCTTTGTTAATTGGAACCTTATGGCCTCATGGTTCATCGCCCTTGAGGCAACAATGTCGTCCGACTCCTTTGGAAGGCCCTTCTGCCCGGGCCTCAAGAGCTCCTGACGACTCTTGCGAATGGCGGGGTCTTCGGTTGCAGTGCTGTTTGAACTTATTCTTCTATGGCTCCTGGAAGAGCTTGGGACTGGTGTCCTTGGCGATCCGTGGTCCCTTTATAAGCTGACTGCTTAAATCGAATCTTGCTGCAACGCAGGGCCTTTCTTGGATCCCACTCTCTCAGAAGGGGCCCCCGACCCTGTAATAGTGACTACAAGGATTATATTAGGGCCCTATTATATTCCTATTATACCACTATTACAGGATGGGGGCCCCGTCTAACCAATCTATCTAATCTGCGGCACAGCAACTTTACCGCGTCGAGGTCGAAGGATCCTGAGCCCGGCCAGCCGGAACGAAGAAGCATTGAAGTGCGAAAGCTCCCTAAACCGAAATCCCAAAATCCCAAACCCTAAACCCCTGAAATCCAAACCCCCAAACCATCATGTTTTTGCTTAAAATTTACGAATAGTGAGGAATGAAGGGACATTGGAGTATCCCCGGGGTCTCGGACCCCAAGCGATAATCCTCCCTAAGCCGAAAAGATTTGAGAGGCTCAAGGCCCTGAAGCCAGAGACGGAGCTTGCACAGCTTCGACCCGAAGTCCCACCCTAGGCATCTAAGGACTCATATATTCTTGGGTCCAAAGACGGGTACTTTATAAGGCTTTTGGGCTATGTTGATTCCCAGGGCCAGGGCTCTCCAGCCGAGGTCGAACATGATCATCCTCATCGCCGTCTTTTCCACCTTGGCCTTTATCTGGCCAGGGCCTTGAGCCGTGATTTCAGCTACATTACTTCATTAAGGGGTATTGGGCTCTCTGGGGCTTTTTTTGGGGGATAAGGGGTTCGGGCCTTAGGTCAACGAAGGAGTTTAGGCTTACAGCGGCTGACAGCTTACCTTTGGCAAGTAGGAATGGGGTACTATCACTACCATCTTCCATTCCCTACTAACCAAAGGTAAGACAGAATGCTATCTTAGCAGTGGGCCAATTGAGCAGGAGCTTACTAAATGGGTCTAATGTGAGCCCACTTAGTATTGGGGCCCATGAACGGGAGCTTACCCCATACTTCGACTCAGCATGTAGACCCTTCCTCAGAAGGGATCATAGTAGGTAGTAGGGATCCTAACAAAAGAAGGAGAGGTCATTACGCAATCAGGGGTCTACATTACACATATGCAGGAATTCACGTGAGATACATGTTAAGGAGTTAGTTGTTCGTTGCGTCACAGGTATCGGTCTTGCTGGATACATGTGTGTATTCCGATCATGAAAGCCCCACTAGTCCAATGCCAGACGGATTCTTCGTAGCTTTACAGCCCTATACGGTTCAGGCCTAAATGGTTTACGGCTTGGGGCTGTAGGTTTCAGAGAGTCTGAGTTTGCGGCTGTAGGGTTCAAGGGTGGAGTGTCCGGCCCCAGGTGGCTGTGTGCTCGTACACTTCTGCAACTGCTTGGGGATTTCTTCTAAGCCCACATAAATGTTACGTAGGTTCGGGGACAGCGGAGGATGCTGGAAGGTTCACCAAAGCAGCCACGAACATTCAGTCTACAACTCATGGGAGCGACGGAGGAAAGCGAACAAGCGATGCTGACCAAGATATTCATTGTCAATAGTTAAACATGCCGATGTTGATACTTGGACCGTATCAAAGCGAAAACAATCAGAGTCGCTGCAACTATGAGAACAGCCAGTGCAGTTGCCATGTAGATAATCGTGCAGCCCGACAAGCATAACGGACGATGATCGATAGAACCCCTTAAACCGTAAAGCCAGAAGATCTGCAGCTGGCTGTCTTAAACCTTGGCTTCAACTTTCCCACACACCAGGACTCGGTCCATCATGGATGTCCTGCGGCTTGTGGCTGTGATTTTTTGGGGCCTCCGAAAGCCGGGGTCTGAGTTGTGGTTGTCCATGTGGTTTTAATCATCTCAGTTTTGCACTTGGGGCTTGTGTGTCTGTTTCGTGTGTTCATGCATCTTACTGTATCTCATCTGTCGTAGCGAGGGGTGCAGTCAGTGTTCGCAGTTTAGATCGGGGTTCCAGACCTTGGGGAGTTTGCGGGTAGGATTTCGGGACGTCTGGTAGGGTTGCGAGGGTTTCGACTTGGGGAAGCTATGGTGGTGGGCTTGGAAGCCGGTAGCCACAAAGATCCACCCGTTCCATGCCTGGGCCTTAAATCGATTTTCATTTTATAAGCCCCCCCCCTGTCTTTTCTCGCTTTTCCACGGCCGGAAGCATTTTCAGCTGCTTCTTGAGATTCCCGGAACCTTTGGGCTGGGTGTTTCCTTTGACTCAAGGCGCAGCTTTGAGAATCAGGTTTCAGGCTTCCATAGCAAGGATTCTATGTGCTCCAGAAGTCAGGTCTCAGAATTGTTCAGCTACTTTCGGCAAGACTTTCTAACAACAGGAGCTTTTCTGGGTTTAGGGCTTGGGGCCGGGATAATGAGAGGGTGTCATGCCCCGGCACAGGTATCCATTTCCAGATAATCGGTCGGGGCCCAAGCGTTGAAACAAGGCCGGTGTTGAGCATAGCCATGTCGGTCCTGTTTGCGAACAGAGGGTCGAGGTTGTGTTTCTTGCTGCTGCTGGAAGCTATGGTGCTGTTAAGGCTGTGGACGGCGCTCAAGGTGTTCAGCGCAGGCCAGCAGCAGTTGT